TGGGCAAAATGGGGGAATGGTTATTGTGTACTCTCTTAGGGCTGGTCTACACTGGGGGGGGGAGGGGGGGATCGATCTAAGATGTGCAACTTCAGCTACGCGAATAGCATAGCTGAAGTCGAAGTATCTTAGATCAAATTACCTGGGGTCCACACGGCACGGGATCGACTGCTGCAGCTCCCCCATCGACTCCGCTACCGCCGCTCGCTCTGGTGGAGTTCTGGAGTCGACGGTGAGCGTGTTTGGGGATCGATATAGCGCGTCTTAACGAGACGCGATATATCGATCCCAGATAAATTGATTGCTACCCGCCGATACGGCGCGTAGTGAAGATGTACCCTTAATAAAGAGTTAAAGAGGGGACCAGCATGGGTTTATGGCAAATAGATCATCCCAAGCTAACTTGCCAGGCCCTGCTCTGAAGAATTTAATAATAGACAAGATAGCCAAAGGCAGTGCTGCTATCCTCATGTTGCAGAGGAGAAATTGAGGCAAGGAGATCAAGTGACTTGCCCAAGCTTACATGAGATCTCCGTAACTGCCCTGGAAATTGAAGCCAGATCTCCCGAGGCCTAGTTCAGTGCCTTAAGCAGAATATCAGCTTTCCTTTTTAATTAATGGGCCATGGCTCCCTTCACGGCATGCTGTCTGCTCCAATTCCAGGCCAGCGTACCATGCTGCAGTTAATCTCCGAGAGCTGTTTGCTTGCCCCGTGATGAGCTGGCAGGTCTCAATCCAGCCTCTAGTGAAAAAATATCACCCACCCTCTAGCAACAACTGGCATTTAGCTGGCAGCTGCTGGGCCCCACCTCAGCCCTTAAGTGTAGGATCATTGGTGCAGGGAGCTCACTTTCAACAGCCTGCTCAGTCCTTGGCCAGTTTGCTGCCACTGCTGGGAGCTGGATCTGTCCCATGTCCCCCTCAAGCGCCCCTAGGGCCAGCTCAGCTGTACGTAACAGCGGTGCTCAGGGGGAGGTGCATCCAGCCCCTTGCTGCCAAGGCAGGGAGGAGCTCAGTGGTGTTCATTTTGGGGGGCAAGGAAAGGGCCCCAATCCCAGATGCAGGTGTGCATGCATGCCCCCTTTCTCCCCCTCCCCCCACCCCCCCACTTACGCAAACAACCACTGGTAACTCCATGAGTAGCCTTTATTACCCGGTTGCGAGAATATTCGACACCTCCCCAGAGAACGATGCCGTGAGCCCCCATGGCTGCTGCCTGCCCGATCGTGTGCACTAGGTCTGTCTGCAACAAGAGAAACCAGCAGCGCGGTGAGAATGCCAAGCACAGAAAAGCTGGCTGGGCAGCCGAGAGAGTCCGGTAAAGCCAGGCCCATGAGCATCCAGCTGACTCAGTTCCTTTCCCTGTTATGCTGCCAAACAGCAGCGACAGCCTGTGTAGTGGGGTTACTGCCCGGCAGGTGCTCAGAGCAGGCCTGCCTAGGGTTGCGATAGCCCCCTCTAGGGCAGGATATCAGCTAGGTCTCTTCCCTTTCATGGTTCTGAGTGTGAGTCCAAACCGTTTTGGGCCCTCAGGGGAGGGAAAGGCAGAAGGGCTCCTTCGAACTTAATACACCGGGTTGCAGCCCGGAGTGAGTTTTTACGACCCAGTGCCAGGTGCCCATGAAGAATGGGAGTTACTAATGGTGCTGCTGTGGGACTGAGTTGCTGTATGGTGTAGAACGGCTCCGGTGGCACAGCCGGCCATATTCTATATAGAGCCCTCACGGCACCATGAAAACACAACGGGGCCAAGCAAGGGTCTGGGCAAAGTGCTGGGAAATGGAGAGTGGGGTAATAGGCGCTTAGCATTGACTCTGTGTGTAGAATGCTCTATGGGGGGGCAGGATGAGTATTTATGTGAATTTATGGAGGATGAGTGAGCAACCATGCTGGAAACAGGAGCTGGTTTTCCAGAGGACGGGGACAGAGGGGGCAGCAGAGGTGCACAAGGCTCCCTATAGCATCCTGCAGCTATGCCTGAGCCATGATTTGAAGGGGCCATGAGTAGGAAAGGGGGAGATTAGCTTCCATAGCCCATTCACTTTGTGGAGTTCCTGTGGCACTGCCACTAGAGGTGCTGACGAAGGCCTGGGGTGCAGGGGGAAAACTAGAAACAGCTTTGAGTCGGTCCCTATCTGCGCCAGATTTGAACCAGTAACTTGAAGGTAATGGCTCTGTACCACCCTGCTAATCCCCCTGATCATGTTCTTTTGACTGGTTGTAATTAGTGATACCTTGAACCATTCAGAGCTTCCATGTAGATAGCTGTTTATCCAACACATGGGGCTTACAAGATGCAGCTGGAAATCTCGTGAGCCCTGGAAAGCCTGGTTTTGGCTTTTCCACTCTTGGTCCCAGCCAGACACCAGCAGTGCAGAGATGCATGAAAGTTAACATTAATCTAACAGTGTTTAAAGACATCAAACAGCAAGAAAGGCTTGGTGGAAGATTGGGGTGATGGCTGTCAGAGCAAGGGATCTTACGTTAACTGCCCCGCTTTGACCATCCCTCTTTATACTCCCTCCCCCCGCCTCAGCTCTGAAGGACTGACAGTCTGCAGTGTGTGAGAGACAGCAAATGAACAGGGGCTGCAGGGGAGCGAATGGAGAACTCTAAATGGACAGGCTGGGTCTACACAGAGGCTACTGCATTTAATCCAACATTTTCACCGATGCTGAACTTGTGGCATAGCTGCAGTGTAAACAAGCCTGGAACCACTTTTAACCCTATTTGAGTTAAAAAACATGCAGAAAAGCAAAGCTAAGCAAAAGGGTGATAGAAACAGCCCCAGCCACCAGCTGAACCATGGGAATTTCTGGTGAATTTCTCCAGTGCAAGCAAAGAACCGAAGAGCTTGTCTATACTGGCAATTAACAGCGCTGCAACTTTCTCACTCAGGGGTGTGAACATCCCCCCCCCCGCCCCGAGCGCAGCAAATTGCAGCGCTGTAAAGCACCAGTGTAAACAGTGCCGCAGCGCTGGTAGCTACGCCCCTCATTGAGCGCTTTAGCGTTGCCAGTGTAGACTAGCCTTTATTTAGGCAGCAGCTGGGGCTTCTGCATTGGCAGGTTGCTAATGGGCAGAGCAGTGGTTACCCCCAATCCTGCCAGCTTCACACTGATCCCTCGCGCTGGGCAGTTGAGCTGCTGCGAAGCATGAGATAAAAGGAGCATCGAGGAATCTTGCTCCTTGGGAGGGAAGGATTTGCCTTTGTTAGCTCAGTTATGCAAAGGCTTAGGCCAGGCTCCTGGGATGGCTGGAATCCTGCTAGCAAGTGGTGTTTGCTAGTTGGGGTCGAGTAGGGATTCATGCCCGAGCCAGGACTGGGAGTTAGTCATTAGTGGGGATAGCAGAATTTAAAAAGGATTCCTGACCCCATGGTGGACAGTGGCTGGCATTTAATGTGGGATCAGCTGTGATGGGGACAGGGGAATGGCTAGGGGGGAACCTCATCACATGAAGCTAAACTCTTCACATGGAATTAATTTCCTGACGGTCCCCCTCCCACCCTCTCAGGCATGCCTGATGCACAAAACAGAGTCACCTACTCCTTCCCAGCTTCCAGTGCTGTCAGGGCTGAAGGTTCTGGATTCGGTCCCTACTGTTAACTAGTTGCAGGGGTTGCTACGCCCAGAGAGTGGGGAGGAGGAAGAGGGACGGTATCTCACCTGGGTTAGCTCCTTCAGGGTGTAGCTGTAGAAGGGCCGGGCATACGCGAAGACAGGCAGGGAGTGGTTGACGGAGGGCAGCTGAGCCACGCGCAGAGCTTCGCTTAGCTTGGCCTGCACAAACTTCTTGCCCTGCGGGGAGGCTCTCAGCACCTCCTCCATGTAGATGGAGGGGTAGAGCGCCTTGCTCTGCTCCCACAGCCACAGCAGCTTGTTGTTGCGCTGCACCTCCACCTGGGGGCAGCCCCCAGTGAAGTTCTCAAAGTCATCCCAGTAATGATAGTTGTAGCATTCAGGGAAGAGGTAGTAGCCCCACCAGCCCCCAGGGCGCAGCAACTGTGCCAGCTTGAGGGTCTCCACCATGAACTTGGCCGCAGCCGTCTCGAACTCCCACTTGGCCTCCAGCTCCACCTGCTCATCGGGCCAGTGCGGGTTCCTTTGCCTTACCAGCTGGGCGGACATGGTCCGGTAGACGTTCTTCTTGTCCCAGTTCCGGATCCACTGGGGCCTCCAGTTCTCCCAGTCGATCACAGACAGGCCAGCGAAGGAAGCTGAGGGCATGGTGGTGGCGATGTCGCTGGCCATCTTGTCCAGGTGGTCCAGCAGGCTGGCGTTCTGTGGGCAGCCGCCGTTGATGGCTACGGGCGGCGTGGTTTTGTTCAGGTAGTAGGGGTACAGACCCAGCTGATCATAGTAGAAGATGGTGATGTTCCCACCTGTGAAGTCTTCCTGCGCGTTCGCCAGGAGGCTGAAGGAGGCCACACTGAGGGGCACCTCATAGGAAGTCCAGCACCGAGCCGTTGGTGCATTCCAGGCCACCAGAAAGGGCCGGTCTGTCACAATGGGGGGCAAGGATGGCTTCAGATTATGACCTCTGGGCAGCTCGGGGCACAGGAGCAGCAGCAGCAAGACAGTGCGGTGCAGGGGGCACCTGTGTAGCCTGAAGGCCGGTGAGCTCCATGCCAGGAGCCTGCCCGAGCTGGGCCTCACTGCAGTTTGCTCCACTCTGCTGTAAGAAGGGTGGAAGAGACAGTCAGTCAGTCCAGGAACGTGGTCAGGAATGCGACAACTCACCCCGGGCTGGGCCCAGCAGGGGAAGAGAAGGCCAGGCAATCTATACTTCAGCAAACCATTCCTCCCTCCAGCCAGATGTCCTCCTCTCCCCACCACTAGGCACTTAGCTAATGACAGCACATTAGCTCATGGGCGGATGGGGACACCTTCCCAGCCCTCGCAGTCATCTGCTTCTGCTGCTTTTCCTCCCCTTTGAGGAGCTGTACGAATGCATGATCCTTACATCTCTGCTCTCCACCCTCTGTCCCCTCTGCTCCCTCTCTAGCCCCCTTCTGCAGTGTTCCCTTTAGCTCCTCCTCCCACAAATGGACCTTGGCCCAGATCCTGATAGGCACTTAGGTGATGAATTCCCATGGTCCCTTCCACCTTTATTACCTTGCTCCCCATGCTTGTGGAGGCCTCCCCATCTGGTGCCCTAACTGCCCTATCTCTTCCCCTTGAGGCACACTCCCTCCCTTTGCCTCACCACCCCCGTCTCCTCTCTGATGCCAGCTGCGCCCACGCCTGACCCTAATCTTTCACTCTGAGTTAGCGTCAGCATCCCAGGGCAAAGGCCACGTCTCTGAGTGCTTGTAAAGCCCTGCAGACAGGAACGGTGTTATCAAAAGCACAATACAACCCTGCTCTGGGCTGGCTCTCATGTTTCTGGGTGTCGTTTCTCTTCGTGGGGGTGGGGGCGAGTCCTAGAGCCAGCACTGGGGGCTAGTGGCAAAGCATCTGTCTGGTCTCAAGCATTGCCATTCTCCCGGGCCTGGAGTGGAAAAAGGGCTCCCCAGGAGAACCGTTATGTTTGCAAATTGCCTCTGCGCCACACGCTGCCCTCCTAAGTAAGCTAATTTGCAGAGCAATTCAATTTAGATGTGCATGGATGAGCGAGGGATGCTCTTCTTCTGGCGCTGGGGTCATTGATCAGCTTGCAGTGCAATTCACGCAGGCTGCTAAGCACTAGGCCAGGGGTCGGCGACCTTTCAGAAGTGTTGGGCCGAATCTTCATTTATTCACTCTCATTTAAGGTTTTGTGTGCAGTAATACATTTTAACGTTTTTGGAAGGTCTCTTTCTATAAGTTTTTGATATATAACTGAATTATAGTTGTATGTAAAGTAAATAAGGTTTTTAAAATGTTTAAGAAGCTTCGTTTAAAATTAAATTAAAATGCAGAGGCCCCTGGACTAGTGGCCAGGACCTGGGCAGTATGAGTGCCACTGAAAATCAGCTCATGTGCTGCCTTTGGCACATGTGCAATAGGTTGCCTACCCCTGCGCTAGGCTGTCTCTGCCCCGCCTGCCCCCAAGCTACTAATGCCCTGCTGATCTACAAGGGCAGGAACGAAACCACCCACCACCCAGAGTGCAGGCGCCTGCCACCCCACATGCATTCAGGTGCTTGCTGAGCATAGCCCTGTACCACCAAGGCTCTGACTAGATCACTAGACACAGGGGCACGCCAGCCCTGTAAAGCAAAGGGGTTAGCGGGGTGGGTCCTGCTGGGATGATTCACAATGTACTTTGCAAACCCCATTCATCTGTGTTCTTTACAAACCCCCACCCCCTGTGCAAGGTGCCAAGAGCCCCCCTGGCAGGCTCTGAGGGTCCTCAGCGCTCACCCCAGTCGGTGGTAGTGGAGAAGACCTTTCGGGAGCAGGCCCTTAGAGAAGAAAATCTGAGCTCACCTGTATCTAATTTAAACCTTGTAAGCACAGATTGCGCAGCCTGGTGGTTGAAGCCTCTGCCTTGTTCTGCAGGGGTGGCAAGTTCATATTCTACTAGCGGTAGCCTTTTATTTTAATACCTCATCCATCAGCTCTCCCCCATCCCCCTAGCGTCGGTCCTTGGGACCTTAGTGTGCCAATGCACCCGGGGCTGCTCTCCTCCTGCCTTTTTCCTGTGAGCCTTCTCTAAGGGTACGTCTACACTACCCGCCGGATCGGTGGGTAGCGATCGATCTATCGGGGATCGATTTATCGCGTGTAGTGTAGATGTGATAAATTGATCCCCGATCGCTCTCCCATCGACTGCTGAATTCCAGCTCGGCGAGAGGTGGAAGCAAAGTTGACGGGGGAGCGGCGGCTGTCGATCCTGCACAGTGAGGATGCCAAGTAAATGATTCTAAGTTGATCTAAGATACATCGACTTCAGCTATTCTCGTAGCTGAAGTTGCGTATCTTAGATCGATCCCCCCCAGTGTAGACCAGGCCGAAGATTATCTCCGCAGGGAGGGTGGTTAGGGGACAGGAGGGAGAAACTGTCCTGAAGTTTGCTCTCAGAGAGAGAGAGAGAGAGAGAGAGGCGATTGCCCTCAGAACTGCAAAGTGTATTAAACCTGTCCTCAATTAGCTGAACTGAGGAGGAACCTGCCTGGCTCCCACAAGGCAGCATTTACTCAGCAGAGACAATTGGCTCAGGGAGAACAGAGTGAGCGGCTACCTTAATTAGAATAAAACAGCTTGGGAGCAAGGAGATTCTGACCCCCCAGTTCTGGGCTGAGAATTCCCCTTGCATGGGTGGTGTGGGCCAGTAAACGCAGGTGTATTCAAAGAACCTAGTAAGCTCTTACTATCTAAACTCCAGCTTTTCCAAAACAATATTCTGTAGACAAATCTCAGCATCAGATGGCCAGAAAAAATCACTCTGGAGGAGGATGAAACAGAAACCGATAGGCAGGAAATTCCGGACCAAAAATGGAGACAGTTAGGACCTACATGGAGGAAAGAGCAGAACAACATACCTAGACAGGCGTTGGACTAGAACCCCCTGATCAAGAGGTGACTAGACCAAGGATAACATGGAAACACCCAATAGAAGCAGAACTGAAGGCTATCAAAATGTCTTGGGAAGAAGCTAACAGTGCAGCAGAGCAGCAAAGATAGAAGGCTGTGGTGCAGGCGCGGTGTTCTGCATAGAACAGCGAGGCAGAAGAAGACGAGCTGCAGGGACTGGGGGGGTGGTGGAGTTGAGTGGGGGGGGAGGGGACGGGGGGGGACGACGACAGGAGGTTTCTGAGCTCCAGCTGCTGTGGATGGCAGTTGTCAGAGTTTATAAATGTGAAAGTTCCTCCTTGCTGGCCCCTGGGATTCGCAAAGCACAAAGGTGGCATGAACCAGCCCAACACAGGGCAGTTAGGGCCACCTGGACTGGTGGGCCTTATGATGGGGACACTTATCCACTGGGATCTGTCCTGAGGCCACTGAATTCATTTTGCCCACGCCAACAAACAGACATCAGCTGGTGGTGACGGGTAGTCACTGTTGGCTTGTATTTGAACTGGCACCCTAGAGGTGAAAGATTCGATAAGCCAGTTATTTGCCAATCCCCAGAGCTACCAGCCTCCCTGAAATAGACTCATGTAGTGAATACATTTAAACATAGGAGAGTCTGAGCCAGCATCCTCAAGCCACATGCTCAGTGCCCGCATCAGCACAGCTGCCCGCTCAGAGACTTTACCTTGCCCGGGTAATGCTTGTGCAAAAGTTGGAAGGACTCTCCCCTTTTTCCCTAGACCAGGATTCCTAGCTGCATGTGCAGGACATCAAAGAGCCATCTGTTTATTCCAGGCACGGTCTGCCTGTGTGACCTCCCCCCGGATTACTTTGTCCTGCAGGAGAGGGGGACTGGCAGCCCGACACTTTGGCCATGGATAGTGCTCTCTGCATGTGACAGGCCCATGGCTCTTGAGCAGCCTCACTACTCAGTGAGCAGCTGGAGGTTCCTGCCACTCACGCAGCCACTGTGTCAGCAGGTGTGACCCCCTTGCCGCTTAATTACAGCATGCGAACTGTAATGGAGCAGCGGAGACTCCTGCAGATGAAACCCAGAACCCCTGGCAGGTTCCTGGTGGAGTTAATGATAGCAGAGTAACCATGGCAACCACCTTCTCCCCCCTCTCTAGCCCCCCTCCCCTTAGGAAAGCTTTGTGGAAATGTAGGTTAGCTGGGGAGAATAAACCGCTCTGTGCCCATTAGTGCTCTGAGGTGCAGGATACCGATAGTCAGGGCCCTGTTCTTTCCTGTTTTATTCTACCATAAAGTGAAAGGCCTGATTCTGTGAGGTGCTGGGTGTCCCCTGAACAACCTCAACGCTCAGCAAAGCCAGGAGCAAGACAGGGAGCTCAGCACCCTCAGCCACACACTCACCGCTTCTAAACACCTGCCCAGGAGTGGAATGAGTCAAGGAGGAAAAGCTGCTCTCAGCTGCGCCTGGGGCAGGAGCTCCAGGAGCAGTAACTGTAATGCCAGGGGGATTCGACAGGGGATGAGGGGGGTGGCACAGAGCCTTCCTCCCTGAGAAGTGCAGCCAACTTAGGGGAGAGGGTACAAAAAGGAGGCATACACTCCCACAGGAATGGTTATCTGGCCCCACAAGGGGGGGGATACAGGCTAAGACTCACCTGCATGCCCTTTGAATCTGAAGTGTCCTTTAATCTGTGGTGAAACCTGTGGCTCAGGAGTTCAGATCTTTTCACAGAGGTTCAAGAAAAAATACTGGATTTGTCTCTGGAAGGAACTGCCGGCTTTGGTGCTAAGACAGACAAGGTCTTAGAGAAGTTAAAGCCCCCAAGAACTACAGCGTTAAAGGAGTTTCAATCATCTCCTCAAAGGAAGGCCGCAAGGAGCAATTTCAGCAACTAGCTTCCAGACATGGCTTCCAGCAGCAACTCAAGCAGTCTGGGAAGGCTTCACGTACCTCTCAAAGGAGGCAAAGATCTCTCTCCTTGGCTTTGCCTGCCTCGATGACAGGTGGTGCTAGACCAGGGGTTTTGGAATGTGCCAGAGGATCCCAAATCAGTTATAAAAGATTTAGATCCTCACCTTTGATAGGTGGAGATGCTCAAATGGAAGGTGGCTATGGCAAAGCTGTATTTTTTGGAGAGATTCTATTCTATTCCTTAACCTCCCCTCATCGCCAAAGTGTCTGAGCCCTTCCAGTAGTGCATTAAGTGACGTGACTCATATCTGGTTTTCTCTTCTTCCTTTCTCTTCCTTCCTTCCCAGTTATAAGTCAAATTTAATATGAACAAACAAACTGCCTCTAAAACAATCCAAACCACCTGAAATTTTACATACCACAGTTCATCCTGAGGGAGACTATGTCTGGAAAGGTTGGGACAAAACTCAGAAAAGGCATTTTGGAGATGCTGAGGCTACAGATTTCACCTTTCAGAACATTTTTCCAATGTCTTTGTGTCTCATTGTCTCTCTCAATGTACAACCATCAGACTGGATTTACGCCAATGTCCTTTGGTAGGAGAAATGCTTTGGACTGGTTTTGGGGGGAGGTAGCAGTTATTTTGGCGCTATCACATAGGGTGTTGTCATGAGCCCTGGGCCTCAAACCTTGGTCTGCAGGATCAGCCCTGCTCCTCCCCTCCACTTGGCAGCCTGCTGATAACTGCTTACTTAGGACCCATCAACCCCAGCCCGAGTCTGAGGCTCCACCCCTGAGATCCTATTAGCAGAGTCCCAGAGCAACTGATTGGCCTGCTGGCCCTACTTAAGCCAGCGGCAGGAACAGGAATCTGTCTGAACAACTAGGGTCCACCCTGCTCCTACTCCCTGAGCTTGACTTCCTGGCATCCCATCCCAGCCTGACTCTGGTTACCAACTTGTGGTTCTGATCTCAAGTTTGTCTTCTACTTCTGACCTGCTGGTACCCTGAATCAGCAGGCTCTCGACTCCTGTCTCATGACTGTGGACTCCAGCTCTGACCACTAGGTCTGGCTGCACACGACCCAGCTGTGACAGGTATCGTCACTGCAGAGTTAGCCTAGGTGTCTGGCCCCCAGGTAGACTGAGCACCTAAGTTAGCTTAGCCCAGGTGTGAGCAGCCACACTACAAAGTTAAACCTGAATTACTGTGTTCTGTATATTATGCTCTCGCTGATAGAGCTGGGTGGGAAATGGTTTTCCTGACCCATAAGAATTTGAAAAATATTCCCCTCCTGAATTGGGACGGGAAGTCAAAATCTTGAAAATGTGCCTGAACAGAAACCCTGGAAAAAATGTTGGTTTGGGTCTTTTAAAATGTTTCATTTTGATAACTTTGAAACATTTTGTTTTGTTTCAGTTATAACTAAAAATTAACTAAAAGTTCAAAAGGTAAGTCATTTTGAACCCAAAGTCAGAATGTTTCCTTCCAAAAATGTTGAATAAATCATTGAAAATAACATGATCCTGCAGGACGTTTCAGTTTTGATGAATTTGCATTTTTTAACACAATTTCTTTTTATAAAAAAATTCCTGACACAGCTCCACTCACTGGTCCCCACTCCCCTCTGTGCACTGCTAGGTCTTATGGGATACACCCCCAGGGTTCTGTGTGCTGCAGAAATCTGAACTGCTGCATGAGTCTGTCCCAGTGAATTGTGGGAGAACTTGTCTGTCCTTCTGGGTACATGGGGGAAATTTTGGAGGACGATCAGCACTCACGTAATTTAGCCTGCTTCCTCATTGCAATGCTGGCGGATTACCAGCCCAAGTGGAAAAGGAACCCAGGCTCTCTAACCCATACCCCAGCTGTGCCAGTTAGTCAGGGTTGAAAGCACCACTAAACTCAGGTGAGTTTTTTTGTGTCAGGAGGTGGGGTTGAGGGGCAACACCTGGGTAAGACATACCCGTACATTCCAGAACGCCTGTATTACATACACCCATCAGTTTGAGGCATGCTTATCTAGGCATCACTATCACTTTGTAAAGTGTCCATGGCCAGACACCTCTGGCCATGGTAGGGGGTTGGTATGATCCAACCTCACTCCTCGATCACATGGGCTCATTAAGATATCGGTACTTTTGTGGTCACAAATGAGATGGACCTATGAGATGGATGGATACTGCTGTCTCTTTCTGGGTGTTCTTGTTATTAGTATGGTGCTTCTGAGGGAGTAGAGTTAGGGTTGTTTGGGTGACTCTGCAGGCCTGTAATTTGGAACGTTGTTGTAAAGCATGCTCTTCTCTTGGATTCGCAAGGCACTCGTCTCACACACGTGAGTTTGAGGAGAGAACAGTGTTCTCTAAAGGGCATTTTGGATGCAGGGACAGATTCTTTCCCCGTAAAGGCCAGGCATAATGAAGATTTTTGCCTGGGATTATATTACAAATGCACAAAAGGACCCTCAGAACTCTCCCATTTTCCAGTGGGAAATCCCCTAGCTCCTCTGCCATTGCTCCATGCACATCTCTTACAGGAATAGCTCCAACCTCAGCCTAACAGCGGCGGCAGCTAAAGTGTTTGGGGCCATTGGTGTATGGTTTTTAAGGGGATAGCTGCATGAAAACTCTGGAATACCATTATCCACTAACAACCTCTGTGCTTTTCACCACCACCTCCGTCCCTCTGGATCAGCTTTTTTAGAAGTTTTTCCCAGGGAAGAACACAGATTTGAATACTACACTATACATACAGACCAGCTGGAACAGCCAGATCCTACGCTACTCCGCAGAATTTTGTTCCATGCAAGTGTACAAAGGAAACAAACAAATATCTCATCCCTTTAAAAATTATTTCTCTTTCATTCTTATTTCACTCCTTTCCTTTCCTGCCCTTTACCGTACACCTGTTCCCCAGCTTCTTCCATATAGGGTGGAAAGAAGAAAAATGACTCAAAAGAAAATTGCTATGTGCTAAGGTTCTTTCCGAATTAGATTATTGTATGAAAAAACAAAACTACAGAGCTGTTGTTTTAACAATAATTGTTCAAGTTTAGAAGGAAGTATGATTTTCCTGGTTAAAAAAAAAAAGAAATCAACATTAAATATTTCTTGTGTCCATGAAAGATATTCAGGACCAGAATCTGAGCTTATCTAAAACCTGGTGTGAATCAGGAGAAAGGGCACAGAAGTTAATAGAGTTACATCGGTTTAAAATTGGAATCAGATCAGAATCTGGTCCCCAGAAGACAAATGTTTAAGGATAAGTTGCTTAAATGTAGCAAGAAAACAACATTATTTTCACATCAAGTAATTTTTTTAAAAACAGTTGTCCCTGTTTTTTTTGCTATACCCTCACTTCGGGGATCAATAAAAAGCTGTTTGTAGCCAGAAATGTATCTGCAATTCCTATGGGGGAGGAAGTCATACAAAGGTCAGGAAGCTATGGCCAGAGTGTCATCATATATTTAGCAAATGATAATGCAAACCACACTGGGAGGGGGGAAAATCTATAGAGGAAGGAAAAATGCATTGCCTAGTCTAGGAAGTTATGGCATGTTCACAACCAGGGAAGAGAAAGAGACAGTTTAGAGGAGAGGATGGTAATCTCCCTGGCTCCCCCTTTGTGCTCTAGATCACTGCTTACTCCACCACTGATCTATGCAGCTAATTTCCCCAGCCCCTTCTCGCTACACTGTATATCTTATTTCCAATTTCTCCTGGCTCTTAAACTCACTTACTATGCACAGCACTTGGACAGAGAGCAGTGGCGGCATGGAAATCGCCTCCACCTGCCGGATGTGTGTGTATATAAGAAAGAGAGAGAGTCTCTCAGAAACATCCTGGGTCATTGCAAAACTTGCACCTCTTTCTCACCCTCCCCCGCCCCCAGCTGATGGATGGGGTAATATCCCTCTCCCATCTTATTCTCAGCTGCCCTTGGTCCAGGAGCTAGAAGAGAAGTGTTGCTGCTGTGCGAGCTCTGACAGGTGAATCCTGAAGGTTTCAAGCGCAGCCTTCGTTCCCTCGCCTTTGAAGAAAAACAATGTAATAAAATAACCCAGCAGGAAAATGAATGGAGAGAAAGAGAGAGAGAGCGATGGATTCACCTACCAGAGGGGTTTTGCAGCCATGGCCGTGAGCTTGTCCCTTCGCCCCCTTTTTCCTCCCAGCAGTGCCCTGACCACTTTAATGTGCTGTCCTTCAATTTTTTTTTTTTAAGGCTGAGACCTGGAATATCAGGGCACCTGCTAACCCAGCTCCCAGGGTGGGTCCACTCTGGCTTGGACTGATTTCCCAGCTCCCAGGCTGCCCAAGGTAGCTCAGTGCCTCTCGCTTGCACCACTTTCAGATGCATTTGCAGATGAGTTTTGCACTGAGAGCCACTAAGCAGGTGATGCTAAGACCATCGGAACTGCAGGGGAGGGGGTTTACCTGTGGCTGCTCACCCCTGCCTTTGAAGTGGTACAATCCATGTCTGTGTGCTTGCTAGAACAGCTGTGTTTATGAGTACCTCCTCCGGGCTATCCTCATGTTTGACTGTGGTGTGTGTGTTCATTCAGTTGCATAGAGACTCCACTAAGATCAACTCATTCAGCCCCTGGTTGGCAGACGGGGAGGGCAGCGCTGTCTCTTCATGCCCACCTTTCCCCTGCTCTCCCTGGAAAGTGGCCTGTTGGAAGAGACCCTCCCACCTGCATGCCTGGGACTGAGACTAGGTTGGTACGCAACAGTCCCGATAGGTTAAAAAACAGAGGGAACCAATGCTCAGTCTATACACTCTGGGTCAGGGGCAGGGGCGGCTCTATGGTTTTTGCCGCCCCAAGCATGGCAGTCAGGCGACTTTTAGCAGCATGCCTGCGGGAGGTCCGCCGGTGCTGCACCTTCAGCCTCCCCGCTGCCAAATTACTGCCCAAGCCGCGGG